TTGTAATGTCCCCATTGTTCAGCCCTGACTTCCATTTATACACCTCTATCATATCGCCCCTCACTCTACGTCTCTCGAGGGAGTGCAAATTAAGATGCCTTAACCTGTCTCTGTACTCAAGGTTCCTAATGCCCAGGATTAGTCTTGTCATTCTCCTCTGAATTTTTTTCAAGGATTCTATATCCATTCTGTAATACGGTGACCAGAATTGAACTGCGTAATCCAAGTGAGGTCTCACAAGCGCAAGATATAGTTTTAAGATGACCTCGCTAGTATTGAATTGATCAGGTGGTTACTCGTGGTCTAACAATTACAACCTTCTTGAAAGCCCTTTACGATTAATTTTCTCGGTACAGTACCTCAAAAATATTTTAATGCACATTGTGAATTCAGTTGGATCAAGGAAACCCCGAACTCCCCTTGTTAAAGAAGATAGAAGTAGGCGAGGTAAACACCCAGTGGACTGACGAATATCTTCCGGAAGGAAAAAAATAACTTCTTTCGTTATACAATATATACTTTACAACAGCTTTTTAGTGTAGAATTGGTCAAGATTGGCAATAAATATTTCGCCAAAAGTAACTAATAATTATCAAGATGACTGGTAGCTCTGTAACCTTCAGAATTCCCCCTCCACACCTGGAAAATCGGTTGAAATTACCAAGGTTTCGTACAAATAAGACGTGGACGTTAAAATAAACAAAATTATAGTTTCACTATAAATTCGGGAGTTGCATCTGCCAGAACAGTAAGTCCGCCATGTTTGCCGGGCCCGCTGATGGAGGCAAAGTAAAAATTTACTTTCACTGGCCAGTCTGAATTTAGCACAAAGTACTCACTAAACTGATAACATCTATATTATGGTTTAAAGTCAGATAAAACCGAGGTTCATTCCCACTAAAACAATAAACCAGTCAGTTCAGCAATGGTTTTGTTTTTATTCGTCTCCCGACGTCCAACATGGCGGACTTGCCACATAAGCAATACAATAATGAAATTTGCCTTGGTTCTCAAAGGAACCTAACATGTTATTTCGTGCCCGTGTGTAATGATCGTGATGACGGCTAACCTGAAAACCTTAAGGATTCATATTACGCTCAAACGTCCACAAAACCTTCTGAGTCCCCCAGTGGAAACATCCCCCGTTTTCTCTGTTTCCCCCGTCTTTGTTTAGTGGGAACTTGGAATATAATCCACGGATTTAGTAGCAGACGCTGTATGTTGGGACCTGTTGCCATCCAACCCTTTGTAATCAATTTAATTTTGCTTTTGATAGCTGAGTCAGAGCATTGTTAGTGAAGATAATAGTAGAGAATGAAAATGAGTTCATAGTCTCAATTTCAACGTCAGAGTGTACAGTAAATTAATTCATCGGAATAGAAGTAGGTGGACTCCCTGGCCTGTTTTGAGTGAGGGCCCCGCGGGCATTTCTACCGTTAGTGAGTGCCCGTCCCTTCATCCATACAGGTATGCCATTCCACTTTGTGTTGTAATTCGCCCTTCTTTAAGTGATTTGACCCAATTAATAGTTGATTGTGCAAGTGTTACAGTAACGTAGTTGATATGCTCTGAGTGAAGTCATATTTACGTCTTTAACGTCCCCTGAAACGTAATGTTGTTGTCACAGTTAGTGAGTGCCCGTCCCCCTTCATCCATACAGGCCCCTGACACTGCCCCGTTTGTCTCCCGATCCCATTGTGATTCTTGAATCGCTCTACCATCCAACAACGGCGTCGGATGTATTAGATGTCCAGCCGGGATCATATATGAGAAGATGGCACCGATGCGGCCTGATTAATGTGCCCCAAGGCTTCGTTGGGCCAGACCCCAGACCCGCCATATGTCTGGCTACCCCACAATAACAACAGCCCCAGTGCTCTACCCTGGGTTACTCCTTGGAAGTATATGTCCACAGAGAGTGTTGTAACATGTATGTTAGGGATAATTAGTTGGAAATAATTATCCCATGTTGGGTAGCGGACCCCTGCATATACTAGTGTCATTGTTTATGTATATGTTGAATAATCTACAATGAGTGCCATGTAATGTACCACCAGTAATGTGGTGAGTAAGAGTAAAGAAGAAGGAACTGAGTTTGCACTAAGCCCAGGAGGTGAACCTGGTAATCATATGATTAATACAAAATCTTTCCCCATTGATTGCATATTAATAAATTTGCTTTTAGAGTACTTTAGGTGTATTCATTTCTCCCACAGTATTTTACCTTTATTTCCATCCAAGTGACCTGATACCAAAATTACCATACTCACGTGCCTAGACCCTCGACCATGCTACCAAAAGAATGACCATGCTACCAAAAGAATGCCCAGGCTACCAAAGGAATGTCCATGCTACCCAAGAATAGGTGACGGAACTGAGTAAGAGTAAGAACTAAGAGAAGTAAATAAGATGAGGGTGGTGTAGAAACAGAGAGGGAGTCAGGCCCCCTCACATTGGTGACAGACCAAGAATCCGCCCCCTCACACGTGGACATCTAGTACAGTATATATCTTGCTTGTATCAACTTTCTTTCAATAAGGAAAGGTGAAACTCCAAACGATAAAGTATCATTGATCATATTTATTACCATATAACGTACTTACTAATCCCAACTATTCCCTCGTGCTGCCTCATACTAACTACAGTACATTAGTTCATCACTACTATCCAACAAACTTCTACCACCAAATACAAACTTAATACAACGTAGCTAATCTTTCCTTGCTTTATATAATCTACCTCAGGTAAAAACTTCCTGTGAACAACTACCCTGTATCGATCTTTTAATAATCAATTAAACGAGACCTATGTACAATATATATAGGCCTACTACGTCATGGACTACAAAGAAACAATACAGAATATAAGTTGGTGAAAAGCACCGCGTATGTAGGGGAATACAAAATGGCGACACCACTGTGGCGATTGACAGCCAACGAAATAGCAACCAACATGGTATCTGCGATCATCACCTTCATATTTTTCATCATACTATCACAACCCTGACCAAATTGAAGTACAGAACCACAAAATAAAGATGAAGGCACAAAATGTACACAAAAACCCTAGAATAGAGAGATAAGAAGCCAGGCGAGATAAATCGATGAAGCTCCGTCAGTCCTCGCCATATTGAAAGAATGTTCTGTTATATTGTATTGTGAGGATTAATTAATGTAGTGAAGATGTGTGCAGGTATTATACACAGAGTACTATAATTGTTGTGACCGCATTTAGGACAAGAGGGAGTCAAGTGAAGTTAGCCCTTGGTGACTTGGGCCCAGTCAAATTGGCCCTGTGGTTACGTGTTGATCTTGGCCCAGTTACTGTGGTGATCTTGGCCTCACATAGGATGGGCCGATGTCAACAATGGTATTAACTATCAGGCTTTGTGAGGCTTTTTCATTATAACTATATTTTAAGATTTACATAAGAATGGAGGAAACTGCAGTGGGCCTATTGGCCCATACTGGGCAGTCCTATTTACACCCAGCCCCTATTGCTCACATATCCATCCAACCTAACACTACCCTAACCTAACCTAACCTACAGTATGTTTGAAGCTATCCAGCGCATTCGAGTTAATGATGATATTTGGTAACTTGTTCCACTCGTCCACTATATTTCCAAACCAATGTTTACCTATTTCGCTCCTAAATCTAAATTTGTCTAATTTAAAACCATTGTTACGAGTTCGCTCCTGTTTGGATAGTTTTGGGTGTAATGTTGTCTGCCATCGATTATTTTCAAAAATCAAATGATTCATATTACGCTCAATAGCCCACAAAACATGTACCTCGGCTTTCGTTTGAGTCCTCCATCTGAGGAGTCCGTTTTCTCATCACTTCAAGACACCTCAGTCCTCCGTTATCCCATTTTCTCTGACTTACTGAAACCAACCTCTCTATAAAATGAATTTGAGTGTGAGAGAGAACACCCTTGTTTTGAGTCAACTTAGATATGTCTGTTTACAGTTGGAACATTCAAGATCCATTGTGAGTGGGGTAGAATGCTTCAACTGTCCTTATCGTTAGTAGAACGTGTCAAGTTAGTGAGTGTCGAGTTTGCCAGCTAGAGTGGCGTATTTTATGTCGTCCGTGGGGGTATCCATGAGTTTCTGATCGCGCCTGAAGTTATATCATTTTGTCGCCCCGACATCAGAGAATCTGATGTTTATAGTTTAATTAGTGTCAGTTGTCTATTTGAGAAAGTCATTAATCTCCTGAACTATTCTGTCAACTGGTATAATCTCCAAGATCTAGCGCCTCCCCGTGAATAGCCCCTTGTTCGCCTCAGGCCTGAGCTTGCAGAATTAATGTTATCGACGTGTATATTCCACCTTTTCCGGGCAAGCTCAACCTCTGATTAGATTATATGAATAGACATAGGAAATTACCCTGATCAAGAACACCGGAGTTCATAACTAAGTCTACAGTGATCCAAAATGATAGAGAAGTTATGTTGTTGGTAAGATCGACCCTTCTGGTATGAATATGGAGGCCCAAGCTGCCCAGCAGGTGCACATATATACCTCTACACGAGGGAGAATCACGCATTCATGACTTCCTCAACGTCTCTCCAGGTATGTTAACGTGTGTTCCCGCCGCCTATTAATTCAGTTTAACTTAGTCAATTTTGGTGAATATCAGTGCTCATGTGTTAACATAATGAATTCTGTGCCAATTAAGTCGAGTAACGTAGAGATTTAGATATTGTCTGAACCGTTGCCAGGCGTATGTTTTGTATAGTTGAAGTTAGACCTTTACGCATTCGTGACTTCCTCAACGTCTCTCCAGTGTGTTGAGCTGAATACTCATCGGCTAACGTGGGGCGGTAACCGGGTTGGACGATGCCGTTGATTCGACAGGACTGAACTGGGAAGTCCGTTTCCTGCAAATCAGGCACCAGCTCCCCGGGGCGTGTGTCGGTCTACAACCGACCCCTAACAGCGATCTTCATTTGTTGTAGAGACCAGCGTTACCCTGGGGCACTCCTCACAGTTACATAGGCCTAAGTATTATGGTACCTTGTTTGGGGGATAACTAGCAGAAATATAGTATCCCAGGTTAAGTATTGACCCACTGAATGAGAGTTAAAAGTGCCATGTTGTTCCTTGTGAATTAACAGGAGGTATTGTATGTTGAGATAATTGTGGAGTTGTCCAGTGTGCTATGTATTCATTGGTAGTGACCATGAAATGATAATCTGAGAGTATAATGATATAACCAAGAAGTGAAGAGTTAATTTGCTACTTGGTAAGGTAAGACCTGAGGGTCCAGTGATATCTGGTGTATACCCAGTACTGAATATCATTTGGCAGAGTGACAATACCACAATTGTCGATTGAAGTAATAAGTATTTGGAGGTATTTAATGAGGTAATAAGTTCTTAAAGTGTTTGATGACTTAATAAATAAATTGCAGTTCTGTTTTGTCTGAGTGAATCTAAGATGCATCTTATCCAATCACTGTGTTAATAAATATTGAATTAGTAATCTACGAGTATCACCACTCTATCCTTTCCCACATTGGTTCTCAGAAAATAACTAACTCACGTGCCTAGAAGCTCGCTACCTAACAGTTAACTAAGAGATGTTATATTCTAGAAAAATCCTGGGTGGTGGCAGGTCTACCGGTGTAAGTATAATAAGTGTGGTAATAAGAAAGACATGGTTTCCCAGGTTAATCCATGGTTTAGAATATAACTAGAACCAAATTTATGGAAGAGATTATAATATATGAAAGGAAATGAAAAGAAAGAACATTGACTTGGAAAATATAAGCAGAGAAGCATAAGAGTTACTTATATAAGAATATAAGGTATATAGAGATAAAGAACATATAAGAATATAAGCAAGAATATATAAAGTAAGTATGTGTGTTAGGAACTGAAGAAGGTTAAGTATATAAAACCGGATACTCATTGAAAAGAATAACTGGATGGTAAATTATTGAAAAGAGGAAACTCGGCCCGTTACAAATGGTGACCAGCTAGTGGGATTATTTTCATTTGAGAACCAATTTGAAGGAATGAGGTGTGGTACTTTGGTGAAATTGTTTTCTCAAAATACAGTATACAGTAATGTACAATTTTGTCATCAGTAAAGAGTACAAATAATTGTGTGATTTAAAGCACAAACTTTTGTGTCAAGTACTGTACAATACTACTGTATTTGGAACTGCAAAGATATTTTTTTAAAGAGTTAAGGGAAGAACTAACAATTGATTCACGTTCACAATTGTTTTTTGTGCAAAAGTTATAACTTTTTGGGTGTCACAAAGTTAGGTAAAGCACCAACTTTTAGTAAGCTACCTAACTGATCTTTTGAGTTTTTATTGTGTGAAATTTCTGAAGTGGTAATTGCACATTAGTGTAAATTTTATTTTTATGTTTATGACCAGTGAATTAATCTATTGATATTTGCAGACATTGAGTGGGCAGTTTACATCTTCCATGTTAAAAATGTGATGAACAGTGTTCATCTCTTGAGTGCCAAAGGAAGTGTCATATTTACAAAGGTTATGTAATCCAATGTTTTATTTGTAGCTGTGGCATTTATTGGAAATATTGGTGTGATTTCAATAGAAAGTGTTCAGACTCTCACTTGAAGTATTTTTCTAACTTGAATTTATATTATATCACCTGAATTGAGTGTTATATGATTTCTCTTTGTGTGTTTTTAATTATTTTTGGTTCTTTTTCTAGTGACTTTAATTGTGATTTAACTAGAAAGGGTTCTAGTTCCCATTTGATGTCAGTTTATGACAAGTGAATTTATTGATATAACAAAAGTTTAGTGTTAGAGATTTTTCCATATGGCATTTTTAATCTGTTTCTTTAACTGATAATTTCATTAAAGACTGAAATACAATTTAGTACAGTGTAGACTTATATGCATTGTTAATAAATGTGCTATATGTATTTGAGAACTAATGCCTGTGTATTTTCAGCAAATGTGTTGATTGGGTTGAGAACCCTGTGGTGAGATGGATGCCTCTAAGAATGCAATCTCTGAAACCAGATACTAGTTGAAATTACAAGTAAGGTCCACCAAGTGTTGAGTACAGCACATAGTCCAGATAATTGAAAAGAGACAGTGAATACTTGTCGAGTACCGAAAATCGGCTTTTCTGTTAGTCATTCCTGAAATGAAGAGTGATATTTTCATGGGACATTCTTGTCAAGTATCATCACTTAATGTTTTAGCATTACTCTGAGTACCTTGTGAAGTGAAACTTCTGTGTTGTTTTCTTTAGAGAGCGTTAATTTTTTTGTGTGACAGTCTCCGATACTATTCCCAATAATTTTCATGATTATAATTTAAGAAGTATCCTATGCAAGTTTGTGTTAATGTTTACCCCCCGTGTCTTGAAGGGTGTTAATTGAGTTTATCTTTGGTGGGGTAGTTTTGTAGAAGTTTTGTTGGGACATCAACGCATGATGATCACAGTAGTTGTTAATAAGTTGCAACTCGTATGCAAAGAAGACTGAGAAAGCTAGTGGTTGTCATGGCTACTAGAATTTGGGTGTTTGAGAAGGGAGAAGGTCAGATCTTACGTCTCGGGTTTACCCATCGCTATTTCAAACAACATCCAGAAATATGCGTGAGCGTCAATTTGGATTCATGTATATATGTTCATGTTCCTTTTAGTAACGTAACCTCGAAAGCAGTTTGTTTGCTCACCGGTACAATACTTGGGTAGTATGAGCTAATCCCGGAGCGAGAAATTTCTTATTTAGATACTGCAGGGACCAATCTAGGGAACATTCCACAAGTATATGATGAATTATGTAAAGTCAGTCAAGCAAATGAACTCTCCTTATGTGCACCCCATTACTTGGCGATCCAGCTTGAACAGAAGAATAGGCCCAGTACCTTGAAAGTCATTCCAGTAGATGATAATAATGCTTCCCCCCACTTCTTGTGTGATCTGTAATGGCATACCAACATCTTCCATCAATAACGTAAGGCTTATTCAGGGGATTTCGAACAGCATGATACCATATTGTGATGAAGTAAATATGGAAACACTAGACCCAAGAAGTTGAAAGAACTGATTAGAAATCAACCTTGGCCGCATTTGACTAGAGATATGTGCAAAATGTTGGAGGGTGTAATGTTGGATCACACTGCTTTGTTTGTGTTAGGACCTCGGGAAATAGGTACCATTGCGGGGCATCCCGCTAATATCCAACTAGCCAACGATAACCCCATTGGAGGGCCACAGTACCGACACCCTGAAAAGGCTAAGGATGTCATTAAAGGCATGATCACCGACATGCACGACAGACATATCATCGAACCATCAACCGCTGTTTGGTTGTCTCCCATTGTTTTAGTCACTAAACCCAATGGTTCCAAACGCATGTGTTTAGATTTCCGAGCGGTAAACCAACATTTGAAAGTAGATATACAACCCCTTCCCAGGTTAGATGAATTAGTAGGAAAAGCTGCCAGAAATAAGTATTATGCTACTTTAGACTTGAGAGACGCAAATTATTAAAGTAATACTTAACGACAAAAGTCGAGACCTAACCCATTTAGTGATGGAATATAACTTATGAAAGTTTATACGCTTATCTTTTGGGCTTTTTCAGCCAGTCCCGTTATTCTTTTTATTTTACCAGAGAAGTAAACCTAGTGGTAGCCCCTTTTTGCAGCGAAGAACTGAGTGAGAAACTACCTCGATGACGTGATAGTGTGGGCTAATGATTTCACAACGTTGGTGGACAGGCTGGCCAGAGTGTTTGATAGATTCGTAGAAATGGGAATCAAGTTAAACTTATTGAAGTGTCAGTCTGGCCAACAACAAGTGAGATTTTTAGAGCATGTAATGTCAGAGAGAGGCATTGAACCAGATCCAGAGAATGTCCGAGCTGTATCAGAGTGTAAACCTAAACCCCCAATTAATGTGAAGCAAGTTTGCTGATTTTTAGGAATGTGTAGATTCTACTGTAAACATGTCCCCAACTTTGCCAAGATAGCTTATCCTATCACCGAACTCACTAAAGCAAATGTCTCTTTCGTGTGGACTGATAAATGTCAGAGGTCCTTTGATAAGTTGAAACACGCCCTCACATCATTTCCGGTTCTCGTTAAGGCAGATGCCGATAAACCCTTTGAATTGCACAGCGATGCCAGTGCCGTCTGTGTAGGAGCTTCCCTCAATCAGCTGCAGACGGATGGCTCGTTACGTCCGGTCGGTTATTTTTCCAAGAAATTAAAACCCACTGAGACTCGTTATTCTACCACCGATAAGGAAGCCCTCGGAATTGTATTAGCATGCCGGTTCTTCCATCATTTTTTGTGGGGCACACAATTTACTATCAAAACTGACCACCAACCTCTGACCTCCGTCTTCAGGAAGAAGACTAAGAATCAGAGGATGAACAGGTGGATGTTAGAAATGAGGGAATATTCCTTTACAATTGATTATAAACCCGGTAAAGCAAATGTTGTAGCTGATGCGTTAAGTAGACCCGTGAGAGTAGTAAGGGAAGGGCGGCTGAAAGACCTAGTCGATCAATTTCCTACGCTAGAGGGCTTAACACCTGCCGAGCTTGGACTAGAACAACAGAAAGAACCACGGTGGAAAGAGCTCTTACAGTATTTGACTGGGGAAAAGTTACCGAGGCACAGATACCCTAAAACCACCATTGATAAGTTTGAAGTGATAGATGGGGTTTTATATCTGGTGAAAGAACAGATTGACAAAGCATTACTCTATTGCTTGGTAGTACCTGATCATTTACGTGAAGCCGCCTTAAAATTAGTACACAATAGTGCAAAGTCAGGTCACTTAGGGCAGTGGAAAACCATTGCCAAGACAGAAAGTCTATTCTACTGGCCAAACTACCGTAAGGATTGTATTGACTTTGTGAAATCATGTGAAAGCTGTCAGAAGTTCAAGGGGACTAGGGGTCTTACCCAGAAATGGCAGGCCTTACCGGTAGTTTCCAAGCCTCTCGAGCGAGTTTCTGTCGACCTGACTGACATGCATGCGGGGGTCAATGAGTACCGTTATGTGTTGACGGTCCTCGATCATTACTCTAGGTTTGTTAACTTCTACCCCCTTCGAACTAAAGCGACCCAAGAAGTTACCCGAGAATTTGAGAAATTCACTAATGTATTTGGCAGCCCGAAGACGGTGATTGCCGATAATGGAGGGGAATTTACAGCAGCCCACTTTAAGAGTTTTTGTAGAAGGAGCAATATTAGTTCATATTTCACTTTGCCATACCACCCCCGAGGCAACAGTGTTACAGAAAGAATGCACCGAACATTTAAGACCCTCCTTGGCATCCTGTGTGAAGACAACCCCCGACGTTGGCCCAAGTTCTTAGGTCCCGTGCAGTGTGCATTGAACACGGCGGTGCACTCCACGACTGGAGTGCAGCCACACTTTGCTTTTTTCTCACGCCATGCTCACCGACAAGTGGGTATTGGATTACCTGTAGTAGAAAGTGAAAGTAGTGAGGGGTTAAGGGAAGCTCACCGATTAATAAAAAAGACTTCCGAGAGAACGTCAAGGGAAGTCCGACAACGAGCCAATAGAGATAGGAAGAACGAAGAAGTCCAGTTGGGACAAATGGTATGGGTGAGGGCTGAAGTACCTCTTCCAGGTACTAGTAGGAAATTGAACGCTAAATGGAGGGGTCCGTATACAGTAACTGATATCATCCGAGACGGTGCCGCCTATGAACTCACCAACATGTCCGACGAAACAGAGATAATTAAAAGAGCAGCAGAGAAAGTGAAAAGGTTCGTGGGTAGGGATATGTTTACGAAGTTAAATGACATTCAGGTTCCACCTTGTGAGTCTTCATCAGATTCAGAACCAGCTGGAAGAGAAAGGTTGGCCAGTCCAGGGAACCCAGGGGGAGTTGCTGCGGCTAGGTTCCCACAGAGAAGGAGGAGACCACGGATCCGTATGGATCTCTAGGAACAGAACCGGTTGGTCGGTCACGTCTCTCAATTGCCGTGAAGGGCACTTAATTAGTACTTGAGATTCGTTGATCGTGAACATCAACTTTTTGTTTTGCCATGCAAGTTTGGCCACTGTGAGACTTTTTGAGAAGGGATTGTCAGTATGTAACCTGGGCCAGAGGAATGAGTAGATGTGTCTTACTGCAGTGAGAACATCGTGATCCAGTGATCAAGTTTACCTGGAGGTCCTATGCGCATAGGCCTAAGTTGGTGTAGGAGGTAGTGGGGCTGGACTTTAGTCACGGCTAGGCGTGTACAGGAGTACCGTACATGGACCTAGTGCAGTTTAAGACGGTTGCATTGCAAAGTCACGGCTAGGCGTGTACAGGAGTACATGGACCTAGTGCAGTTTAAGACGTTTGCATTGCCAAGTCACGGCTAGGCGTGTACAGGAGTACAGTGCATGGACCTAGTGCAGTTTAAGACGCCTGCATTGCAAAGTCACGGCTAGGCGTGTACAGGAGTACATGGACCTAGTGCAGTTTAAGACGCTTGCATTGCAGAGTCACGGCTAGGCGTGTACAGTCGTGTACAGGAGTACAGTGCATGGACCTAGTGCAGTTTAAGACGCCTGCATTGCAAAGTCACGGCTAGGCGTGTACAGGAGTACATGGAC